GAAAGGAAGGTGCAAGAAGAAGCCGATCTTGGCCGAAGGCAATACGTTCCTCAGCATCTGCGGCAGCATAGTGAGGTGGTAGTCATGCACCCAGATGAGGTCGCCGTCCCTGTAGACGTCCTGGATCGTGTCCGCGAAGCTCTGGTTCGCCGCCTGACGAAAGGCGAAAAAAAAAAAAGAAGGAAAAAAGGAACAGTCGAGATGGCATTCTCGCTAAGCTCTCGTTGGCCGCCTGACGAAAAAGACGGCAAAAAAAAAAAAGAAGAGAGAGAGAGAGAGGGGGGGGGGGGGGGGAGGGGGTACCCCAGAAGGGGCACACGCAGACGGCGTTTGTGATCCCCATGAGCTCGCCCACCGACGCCCAGGGCCCTCCCTTGTCCCTGGGACTTTTTGACCTAAAAACCACAAGAGACAAAAACCCGCCGCCACGCACAAACCTTGTAAGCCAACCACAGCTGGCTTTCCTCCCGCTGCTCCTCGATCGAGTCGGCGTCGTGGCAGGCAATGGTGTCTTCCGTCGTGGGCATGGACGAGTGGAAGAGCGGCCACAGGATGGTCTTGCAGAAACCCTCGTAGAACCTGTCCTCCATCGCGGCATCCTATGCGTGTAGGAGGATGTAGCAAAAAAAAACCGGCAGGAGGATCGCGGGTTGCGTGATGGATGGATCGAGGGGTCTGGCTTTTGAAACTAGTCGCGGTGCTTGCATTGCGCAGACCTTAAATGATACCTCGAAAATGATGGGACAAAAAGTGAACAACGAAAATCATAAAAAAAGAAACAATCATAGCGGTCGTACACAGTAGGAAAAGAAACGTTGGGTGTCGGTCGCATCTTTTCGTCGCAAGCAACACGCACCCCCGCAGACTCCCCCGCCTCAAGAGAAAAACACACTGGGGAGTCGAGTGCCTCTGTCGGCGCACGCAAACACAAAAAGGTGTCTCTCCGGCTCTTGGCTTCAATACACTTTTCAAGATTTTTATCCATTTTGTGGTCGACAAGGCTGCTCATCGCACTGACGAGCAAATAAAAACAAAGAAACAAACAAGACTCTTGAAAACACAACAAAACGCTCTTTGTCGAGTCCTCTCCTCGCGTTTGTAATTGGATTGTTTAATGAATACACTGCTTGCTCTTGGTTGTTCGCCGCCCTCACCAGAAATATCGGCACAAGGCGTCGGTCCTTGAGCTGGTCCGTCAGGCTGCACTCCCGGCCGGGCTCCACGTACGTCCCGGGCCACCCCACCCAAATGCATTCCATCTGGGAAAAACGAGAAAGGAGGGAGGGGACAGGGGATGAGGACCATGTTTGACCATGTATATCACCTTCATCCCATTTACGAGACGAGGCTGCACAGCCATTGTTCCTACGCAGTACTATTACTCCCGAAAAAGAAAGAAGGTGTTGGCGAGCGGAAATAGTTTCGAAAATAAGCGACAACAACGGCTGTCATAGTCAGAGTAGCGGCGGGCAACCGGAAGAAGAGGTTGCTTTTTCTCATCCACTGCCAGTCAGCACCCAGTCCTCACCAACTCGTGGACCAATCTGTAACGGAAAAAAAATAATGTTCTCCCGTTAGCACTCAGTGTCATCCTCGGAGTAGTCAGAGAAGCGGCCGGTCACCGAAAAACAAGAGGTTACTTTTCGTCGCCGTCCGTGCTCACTACTCGCCAAACCGTGCAGTGCACCACCCTGTAGCGGAAGATACAATGCTTTTCTCTGTAGTCACTGCTGCAATACCACTACTCACCAAATCGTGCACCACCCTGTAGCTCTGCAGCGCCTGGTCCGCCTTCGGGATCTCCGTCGTCCAACGGCCGGATGACGTCATCTTCCGCAATTTTTTTTTTTTTTCGAAAAGGTTTGGAGGTCGGCAAAAAAAAGACGCGAATCACAGATACCATGCATAGTAGTAGAGAAGTAACCGCTGATTTGTGTACGTACTCGAAATTGATGGCGATGGAGCACTTTGCGCTGTAGTCTACACACATGCCCCACGACCACCACGACCAATAAATAAAAAACGCTCTGAAATCCGTCACCCATTTGGTGTCCCGTTATACACACTATCCCGTACAAAAACCGGACCCCAAACACATAAAAAAAAAAAGAGGCAGTAAAAAACAAAACAAAAAACTTGAACCCCCCAAAAACAAGAAGATTTATGTAAGCAGATTTTGTAAACCTAACGTTAATTTTTCTTCTTGGTTCTTAGGTTTGCTGTGCTCTTCGAGTCAATACACGTCAGAGTGTGAGCAGCTTAGCTTGGGCAACGTCATAACTAGCAGTTAGCAGCCAGCTGTGGGCTGGTCCTGTTGTGCCTGCTTCTATTTTTCATCTTGCGTCACCCTTTCAAGACACTGTGCTTTCATGAGCAGACTCCGGAGGCATCACATGTACAACTCGCAAACATGTGTAGATGGCCATAATCAAAGGGGGTCACAACTCCCCAATGCCCGTATCTCGAGGACCACCAATTCCCTTCTATTCATACCTACACAAGACCAACCAAACACACACACAAGGAAATACGGCATAAAAGCACATCCGGCAGAAAACGAACCCGCCCCCAAAAACGGTTAAACACACACACACACACGAACGACCCAACGACCGCGATGCGAACAAGACTGGGGGTCGGTCATACCTGCAGCTTGTACGGCAGCCTGCGGGAGACGAGGATGATCCGCGGCCGCCCCGTGGCGCCGTTCGCGCCGTCTTGCCCCCCGGGGCGGGCGGCGTCCTGCTCGTCCCTAACCTTGGCAAGCTCCTCGTACATCCTCTGGAGCGGTTGTGCGGCGTGCACGAGAGAGAGCCGGCAGGAGAGGGGGTGGGGAAAGTTGTCGGAAGGGTGGTGGATGGTTGGGAGCCGTTTTAGGAGATGTTCGTCCTATTCCGCCGCTTGGCCAGGAAAATCACGTGGTGTGCTTTTGCATCGGGGCACGGATAAACTTGGGGGATATTATTATTGCAGCAAAGAGGTTCGGCCATGTTGTGCAAAGGCACGGCAGGGGGGTTGCTTAAGGCAGAGGCCCCATGCCAATAATAGGGAATGATACAACGAACAGAAAGCTAGGAGAGGGTTGGGGATGAGGCATGATTGCGGCCATTTGAAATAACCCCAACCACCCATAATGCTAACCCTAACGCGTTGCGTGCTGCGTTAAGAGTAAAGGGTGTTGTCGCGCTCTGGCTCCGAACTAGGGGGCCTTCACGGAGGCAACTCTAAACAGATTTCGCGGTGAGAACCAGCAGACAGACACAACAGATTGGGGTTTCTAAACGACTTCTAAACGCCTTCCAAACACGGGGCACACGCCAGCATGGAGGAGGGCTCTTCGCAGAAAAAACGTCCTACCGTGTCAAGAAGCGGTGACGCACTTATGTATGTACGAAGGATGCCTTGTTACTCGGTGCCGTCACGGCGATCGTGGCATCCACTACCTACATTTCTTTTTCGTGCCTTCGACAAAAGCAAATGGGGGTGACGCGACCGGCATAGAAGAGAGCGACGGGGGGTAGGACTTTATCGGCGCAACTCCGGGTTTGAGGTACATACTCTGGCACCCAACAATAAAACGCACCGGAGCGTGCAAAAAGAAAATTCAGAGAAGATGCTTACGTATTGATCGAACAGCATGCACGACTTGAACCAAAAAACCTTCTCTACAACAATCTCTTGTTCTCTTCTGCTGGTCTCGGAATTGTCGGCTGTTCGCCAGGTTTGGGATATAAAAATACTCCCATCCTATGTTTTCCTTTCTTGTGCCTCTTGTTTTGCTCGGGACCCTGGAATAAATAGTAAACATGTCGTCACCCACGCACGTACCGATATCTGCTCGAGAAGAGCATCCTCGACGGCCTTGGCCTTAGCCTTCTCCGAAGCCGCCGCTACCGCCGCAGCCGCTGCCGCAGCCGCCGCCGCTGCCGCGCCCCTGCCCCCGTCGGCCTCAACGGGACCTCCGTCTCTGCCGAGAGCTGCCGCCGCCGCCGCCTTCCCGTCCGCCCCCAACGATCCCGCAAGTGCTGCAGCAGAAGGGTGACTGCTCATATTGCTACTGATACTGCTACTGCTGCCCGCCGTCCCGCGCAACGAAGCGGCGCCCCCCGCCGCCGCCCCGTCCCCCTCCGCCGCCTCCGCACGACCGGCGTTCGTCGTGCCGGCGTTTGCACCGCCGCCGCCGCCACCGCCGCCGCCGCTAAGCAGCTCTTTCGACCTGAGGGTTGACTTCTTCATTCCCTGCCCGGCCCAGGGCTGCGGTCCGGCGATCCCAGGGGAGGGCCTGGTATGTCCCCTGCCCCCGCCGCCCCCGCCGCCGCCCCCGCTGCCGCCGCCGCCGCCTCCGCCTCCGCCGCCGCCGGACCGCAGCCTCGACCCGCCCCCTCTCCCAGCGATCCTGCCGCTGCTTACGTTCCCCCCTATCGCCCGGTCGTGGATACCCCTCTGCTTCGGGGGCCCAAGGCCCTCTATGGGGTAGAGCTTTTCGCCCCCGCCAACGCCGTCCCCCCCTCTACGTGGGTCCGGCAGGCGGCCGCCGCCGCCGCCGCCGCCGCCGTCGCCGTCGTCGCCGTCGGCTCCACGCCGCGGGGAGGGGGCGGCGGACGGGAAAGGGGGAGCGGTGCCTTGCATGCTCCTGGCCTTCTTCTTGAAGCTGCTGCTGATGATCGGGGTCGTGTTGGTTCCGATGGTGGCGGTGGTGACGGTGCGAGCCGGCGTCCTCGCGCGATCCCCGCCCTCTGCTGCTGGTCCCCTCGGGGTTGTTGATGCTGGTGGTGGCACAGCGGCAGCTGCTGCCACGGCAGCCGGTTCCTGCTGCCGCTGCTGATGCCGCTGCCGCTGCCGCTGCTGCCGCCGCTGTCGCTGCTGCTGTATCGAATGCGAGGTACCTCTACTACTTCCCCCGAGGTCCCCACTCCCACCGCCGTTCCTCGAGGGAACTAGGCCACCCTTCTTTTGCGTTCCTGCTGCTGCCGCTGTAGCTGCAGCGGCTCCACCTGTCGCCGGCAATCTCCTCTGGGCGCTGATGCTGCTGCTACCTGTCTCCAGTTGTTCATCACGATCCTGCTGCTGCTGCCGTCGACGTTGCTGCTGGTGCTGCTGCTGGTGACCGCAAGCGGCCTCTCCTTCCTGCTCCGGCCTTTGCGTTGATGGATTTCCGCCCGTGGTGAAAAGCCGGTCGGTGTTGCTCTCGAGAGAGCAACAAACTGCGCCGGGAAGGAGCTGTGAATTCCTTGCACAGGTAGCAGGGACACCGCAGCGCAGAGGTGTACAAGCACCCCGCTGCTGCTGCTGGTGCGCTCTGCCGGAAACACCGCCGTTCCTGTTGCTAGGCTGCCTGCCTAATACGGCGGCGGCCGTTTACAACTCCTACCCTAGACTAATGCTCGCGGGTGGCTAATTGCCCGGTTCTGACACAGGTGCTTGTCGCCGCGCCTCCTCCTCCCCCGTCGGCGCGTTCTCCTGCAGCCGTGCGAGAAATAGTAGAGAGGTAGAGAAGGGCAGCAGCAACAGCGTATGCTCACAAGAGCACCAAGGATAATACCAAGAGCGGCGTGGAAACACACGTGTGCGCACCGAGGTTGCACCGCGTCGTGATGTGCACCACTGCGTGGTAAAAAACCAAGCCGCATCTACTGCATCTGTTCTAGCTCACCCGTTGCGCAGTCCGATGAGCTCTCCTCCTTGCCCTCCCCTCTCCCTGGGCTCCTCTCCTGCCCCACCTGCTGTGCGCGCTCGTGGGCCCGTGTCTGCTCTTATCTGGAGTTGTTGCGGAAAACGGAAACACTCGCCGGGGCTCCGCAAGATCGTCCCCCGTCTGCCGAAAAACCAACACGCCGTCACGATTACGAAAACGGGATCTCCGAGGACATATCCTTGCTCCTTCCTCCGCACTCTGTCATCAGCTCTTCTCTCGAAGATAGGTGCAGAGGGTGTTGACGCGTGGTGGGGACTGGGGAGAGGGCTCTCTCATCCCCAAAGCACCCGCTGCACCAACGTCGTGGTTCTTTTCTTGGATTCAATAGAAAAAAACGAGGCCGGATGCAGTCAGATAGACCGCGACATCGTGCTGCTGGTGCTGCAGCAGGAGGAGCGGGAGGAAACAGCGGTAGTGCGGGTCGCACCACACTGATGTGGCTGGCTGTGATCGGAGCTGTTTGTGCTGTTGCCGGGCCCGTTCTCCTGTCCCCCTACGGTACGAGTCGATGCCTGTGTATGTGGCAGCGTTTTTGTACCAGATGCATGCACAGGTTGTTCCGCATGGCCGCGGCCGCGTCATCTCCCCAACACTCACCGTTTGCCTTCACCTGTACAATGCCTTCTGATCTGATGGGTACCCTTAGTGGCGGGCAGCTGTTCTGTTTTTCGACGATTCGGAAGCTATAGTGATTATAGTATTGTATGTTCGTTGATTCCACTCTCCCCAGTCGCTCCATACGCTATTGCATCGAATACGTAGTGGACCCAACCACAGCTCGAGAACGACAGCAGTACAGCTAGTACACCAAAGTACACAAATGTATCATACCACGAGTAGTGCATAGTCTGCGCCACCTTTTCGGGTTCTCTGCAACTTCACACCCACATGTGCTCTCCTCCATGCCGCTGAGAAACTGATAAGAGCATCAACCGTTCTCCGTAAGCTATGGGTAGTCTCGCTGCTGACTAGAGCCCCGCTGGCCCGCACGTTTTTCGTTTGCTTCGTTTCAGCCATACAGTCGGTAGGGGAGGGCTCGGTGGGAGTGCTGCGCTTCGGCGGGAAGCTGCTGGACGAGATCAAAGCCCCCGGCTACCACTTCGTCCTGCCGTTCCTGTACGAGCTCATCGAGGTCCCGGTGAACGTCAGGACGTAAGCACTACCCAACCACGGGTGTAAGACTTAGGCTCTGCTGTGTACCAATATTCCCGCCCGGGGTGTACCACTGACACGCGGGGCTCCTCTCGCAGTCTATGGTACACACGCACAGAGTGTCTTTTTTTCTCGGGCTGCACCTGCGGGCAGTGCGTCGTCATGTTACGCGAGCGAGTGCGTGGCAAGTTGCTTAACCCTGAGCATGGATCAGATGGATTGTCTGGTTGATTTGAGCACGCGTCGAACGAACCTCAAGTACCGTAGACGGTCCGTACCCGCCTCTCTTGTTTCTTCTCTGTAGACTTATGTGTCTACTGTATAATGCCTCGCTCAACGTTTTTTTATCCCCATTTTCCCACAATCAAGTGCTTGCGTCCTATCTGCTGGTCCTATCCTCATTGTTCTCGGACATGCTTTGACATGTACATGTCCAGCACGGAGGTTCGGCAGGTGCCCTGCGGCACGTCAGGGGGCGTTTTGGTTCACTTTCCGTTGGTCGAGATCATACACCGCCTGCATCCCGCAAGCGTGGTCAGGTAAGAGAGAGGCAGCCGGACAGAGAAGGGAGGAGGTCGGAAGAGTAAAGTAGAGCGCCCCAAGGGATGGGAATACATTCTTTGAGACAGACTACTCCTACAAAGTGTATCTGTACAGAGAGTCAACAGATCCACATGGGAATGATCAAAGAGAGAGAAGCCGAGGAAGAGTAGTACGAGCAACGCACATCGTCGTCTTTTAAGGATTTGTTTATCGTGGGAAGGTCTACAACCGAAGCTACTATTCTACAGAACTGCGCCCTTTCGCTGTTCGCTGTCGCGGTGGTCTAGACATACTGCTGTATTCGATCCTGCGGGGCCGACCTTATTTTTCACGTTACCCTTCAGACACGTTCCAAAAGGCCCCAATTGCGGCATGGCGGAAATAGACTTAACCTACAGTCCCTCTTCTGGCCCATGTCTGCTCCCCCTTCTTGCGAAACGCGTCATCAGCACACTCAAAGCGTACGAAGATTACGAGCAGGCATGGATCATCGATCGTGTGGTGAGGCAGTGGGGATGTGACGGGGGTTGGATACTCTTCTATATCTTGCTTCTTGTGTCTTGCTTCCGCCGGGGGGAGCGGTACTCATACCCAACGTGCCGTGCACAACCTAATCTAGGACATGCCGAATCTGGAGCTTCCTTCTTGTGCGTCCGCTGGCGCTTCGGCCACCAATAGTTTGAGGATGGATGTGTTCAACGACCCAAACGAACTTCCTGATTGAGAGGGGCCGTATTTCCCTGGTTGTGCATCCCTGCTCTCTAGCAGCGCAGCGCGCTACAACGAAAGCTGACTTTGACTTGGCACGTGTGCGTGTATGTTTGCTTTCGTCTGCATGTATATGGTTCCTGGCGTGTGGGGGTGGGCGAATTAACACCACACAGAGGCACGACGTCAACCTGCTATGCGCCCGCCACAGCCTGCACGAGGTGCACATCGACAAGTTCGACCAGCTCGATGACATGTTGGTGGCGTCTTTGAAGGCAAGTTGAGGGCGAGGTCGTCCCGGGCGTCCCATCGGTTGATTTGCCTCCATATTGCCCCGCGGTACATGCGTGCGCTTGAAATGCACTTCAATCAAACAACCGGTTTTTGGCGTGAAGAAGTGACCCGTTTCCCCCTCCCGATTCAACCACACACACCCTCACCTATATCCGCCGGACTATCGTGCTTGACGGTTTATGTCGGACCCCTCCTGGGCCGAGTGTCAACAAGTCGATTGCTCCGCAGAAGGAGATCCGGTGCCGCAACGGGCGGCGCTGAAATGTGTGTAGACCTTTTCGAATACTCGTCGTCCGGCGTCAGATGCCCTTGCTAGAATAGTGGACCAATAGGGCTTTGAGAGTCGAGACGAGGGGGGCTGATACACGCCGCCAAACGCTGTAAATGCTTTGGCACGAAACCAGTCGAAGGAGTTGCCTCCCACACTCCCGTTCCGACCACGCTCTCCGCCACGGCAGGAGACTGCTTCGTTGTGGGTGCCGGGGCTCATGATCGTCGCGGCGCGCGTTGCCAAGCCCACCATCCCCCCGCAGCTGCACGGCGACTTTGTCCGCGTGGAGGAAGAGATCTCCAAGCTCAAGGTTGGTGTTTTCGTCGCGAATTGTGCGTGCGAAGCGACGGCATGAAGCCACACCCACGTTCTCTTGTTGTCAGCCTCCAAGGTCCAAGGTTTGTGTTTGTTCTTCTTGTGCGTGCAAAGCGACGGCATCAAGGTAAGGCACACCAACGTTCTCTGTTGTAGGTGCCTTGAGAAGCAGCGCCACCCATGGTCCCGGTACACGGTTAGATGCAACCCTACAGGCGCCAGTTTTTTTGTCTCGTTCCGACACGCTACTGTACCCAATGTTTTTGTTTTGTTCGGCGCTTTCCACCCAGCTTCATGGTAAGGTTCAGTTCGTCGTGTCGCGGGATTGTGCCATGAACCATCGTCTACTGCTGTAACCGTCCTCCCTGCTCCTTGGTTGCCTAGTTACCTGACTGCCCTGCAGTGCTTGGTCTTTCTTTGCCGAAATCCGTGCGACCGCCCCTGTCGTTGCACGCCCACCGTCTTCCTGTCCGCTACACCACCAACTGCTCTCTCAGTCCCTTGACAGCTGTTTGCGCCCGTTATCCTCCTCATGCTGCTTGCCTCCCGCACGCTCCGATGTCGATACACGTACTGCAACCTCCGGGCCGTCTACTACACCTGCCCAATCTGTGGGACGCAATTTTCTCAAGGTTGCCCATCAGCACGAACAGCTTGTGGTACGGAACGCGGAAATGGAGCGGTCGAGACAGGTGCGGAGAGAAACGACGTCGCAGGTGTTGTAGTTGCTCACCACGGAGGAGATATTCCTGGGAACGATCGAATCGAAGCAAGCCGTGTGTCATGGCTGATTTAGGGAACCGTGCGTCGCAGGTCATGGCAGCAGAGAAGGACCGAGACATCGCGAGGATGACGATGGCCCGACAAGTGGAGGAGACGGAAGCCGACCTGCGCATTCATCGAATACAAGGTGGGCGGAACGGGTTTGGTACACACCTCCCGCCGCCGCCGTGAGGCCCGTCATTTGTGTGTTTGAAGCAGGTTTAGACGTACTGCTGAGGACGTGCTTAGTTGTTCCTCTTCTGACGTTCGTTGCTGATTTTCGAAGGGTTGGGGTGTCTGTGTGCCCTGACGTTTTTGTTTACTCGAAGGAGCGAATACCGAAAAACGGCTGGGAGTAAGCATGGTTCTGAATTTCATCCTATACGAAGCTGGTGGTCGGCGTACCACGCTACAACACCTACCTGTCTACGTTCATCACACTGCGCCGGATGTGCTGGTGTTACCTGTTCTCCCCACTTGCTGCTAGTTTGACGCGTCGTTCCTGATGCCACTGATGCCACTGCTGCTGGTGCTACTGCTTGTTCTTGCGTCGCAGACGAGATGCATGTGGCACGCAGCAAGGACCACGCGGACGCCGCTAGCTACTCCAAGCTTCGAGAGGTGAGATAAAAGAAATCCATCCGAAAAAAAGCTGGAAGCATGGTGAAAGTGAAGTTTTGGCAAGGGCTATTGCCCGGAAGTGACAACAAACGAAACAGAAACAGCAAGCATGGCGTTGGCACTGTCAGCGAAGACAAAAAGCGAAGCCACATGACCCTCGATCATAGAAGTATGTGCTAAGGAAAGACCTACAACTTTGGCACACGAGCGGATAACTGCCGGTCTTGTCGACGCCGCAGACCCGCCCGCCCTTTCTTCTTGGCATGCGAGAAAACTTTGCTTCGTTGCGATCGTTGCTGATATCGCTACTCGGGTTGTTGTTGTTGTTGTTGTTGTTGTTGTTGTTGTTGTTGTTGCCGTTGGTTGCTGATTGTCCGCCTCGTCAGCCTCTCACCCCGCCACCTTCGGTGTCATGACCAATTTCGCTGCCTTCGTCGATCTTGCTACTTTTTCGCATTTTGTCCTTGGTGCTTCAGGCGGAAGGCAACGAGCGACGACTATCCCCCTCTTTCTTGGAGCAGGCGAGACAAAAGGCTCTCTACCAAAACCTCGAGGTACAGTAGTGCCCTACAAACTTTCGAGCCGTTCGCGTGTGCCCTACTACAAGTCAGTCGCATGTCCAAGCTGTGGGATGGGGCGTACTCACGTTTTGCATGCCTTTTTGGTTAGGCCATTGACCACGAGGTCTTCGAGAGGACCGAGCACGTGGTGGGAGGGTTACTACTATCTGTGGGAGATTCATCTTTGCGAGGCACGTTGCGCGTGTGTTTTCTATCCCGCTGCCGATGTTTTATCTACAATCACAACGATGGTCCCGTAACTGTCGAGGCAGTGGAGTGCTCACCACGCGATGTATCCCCCATTCTTCTTTTCCATCCAAACATCCTGACGTTGTTTCAGGCGTACTATGGCAACCGAATGCCGGAGTATGTCAGAGTCAACAGCAACAGCAACGGCAATGGCAACCTCCTGGATGGCGGGGAGGGTGGCAGCGTCGGTAGCGAGGCAGCGCGAGGCGCAGCAGCATTTTGGGGAGGGCGGGGGCACGGATAGGGTTTCTCGACGGTGGCAGCGGAGTAGCCGCAGGTGCGGCGGAGATGTACATGTAGATGGAGGAATTCCGGAAAAAAGTAGCCAAAGGGCCTATCGACCATAGCTGAGCCGCTCTCGTTGGGTACCGTTGCCCCAGTAAAACATGACGGGGCTCATTACGACAGGATGGAGAAGAGATACGGGAAGGAGTGCGCTGAAAATACGCTAGGTACAGTAGGCGAGTAGAGAGTGAGAGAAATACAGAAGATGCGACCAGCTCATCGGGCAGAATGCGCGGACACACTGGTGCAACATTACTCGCGTACTGTAGCTTGAATAGAACGCGGGCTAGGGCGCGCGTCCGTGATTGACCACATCACACGCGGTCTGGATTTTGTTCATAGAACTGTAAAGCATTTTATAGTTAACCCAAAGCTCTGCCATCGAAAGGACTACGTGAAGCCGCTTGCATCATTTCAGACTTTTAACGAAAAGTCGGGGTCGGGGGGAACAGTTTTTCACTGTCGAGGTTACTTGGTTGCGTTGCCTGCTGTGTCTGCATCGTGTTCGCAGGATTGAGCGTGTCAGAATATGTTGCCGACCACGCACATTCTCTTCCAGCTGAGGAGTCCTTTACCGCGCTCCGCACTGGTTTTGAACGGAAAAACGGACCACCAAGGGACCTCGGACAAAAGATGATAGTTTGTTGCGTTTTGGCCCTGGTGGCCGGGTATTTCTATCCCGTGGCGAAGAGCGGTATGGGGTCCTCGGTGGGCAGATAATATTATATGTAGTGCCGAAAATAAACCTGAAATGCGGTGTGCCTCAAATGGGTACGTGTGGTTTCGTGTCGCGTTGCGGGAAACGAGGCGGAGAATGTCTCGTTCCTGCACTCAAGAGTATGCTCTCCGCTGGCGATACAAACTCTTGACGGGATGGCCAGGATGTCAGGAAAGTTTGGCCGTCTTTCGGCAGCGGGGGTCGCATGGGGTTGAACTGACCCGTGGTGGTGCTATTTCTAATGTCTACCCTGTGATGATGGGATATCTACGTAGTCTAGTCCTCGGAAGTTTTTACAGATGCAGCACGAATAGAGGGGGGACACACAGGCATTGGAAACGACCGGAGAAATATTGATGCCTTCGCCGGGTCGCACACACCTTTCTGTCTTTATGGACATGTGTTTTGGGGTACGGGTTGCGTACTGCACGGTACACCAATGTCGGATAGTACTTGTACTACAGCATCCTCTTTGTGGAAAATCCGGGGTAGTGCTACACCGCGACCTGTAGCAGTATTTGGTTTTCAGCAGAGACTTTGCACGGAGACCGCAGCTGTAGGCTACGGACGTCAGGTGGGTTCCGATAGAGAACGGGTGTCGAACCAGAGTAGAATATTTGGTGGACAGGTACAGGTAGTCAGTGGAACGTCGCGATGCTGTTGCATATCCGGCGAAGAATTCAAAATCAACCAGGCAGGTTTCGTCGTAGCGAGATTGTCACGAGCTCGGCATCGGCTTTGACGCAAAGCATGCCTCTTTGCCGAGGAACATGATGCATGCAGACACAAAACGCTCGTAAAACACCTATTGCCCGAGATTTAGGCAGACTTGACAGTTTCAAGGGCCGCGTGGATCAGGCTATGAAAAAACCCCGATCTGATTGATGCCGCTGCATCATAGAGGAGAGATGCGCATGTGGGGACACGCTCGTCGAAACCGTTGAGGTGCTTTCGTGGACAGGCCACCGAACGGTAGCGACTGTCGTTGCTCTGTTCAAGTGCCGACGCTCTACAAAAGACCGCGTGGGTCACAGGGGAGAACCCTTCTGGAGCCCCTTATATACACAAACACGGTATCGGAGGGAAGCGACGGCGCGTTATGGCTGTAGGCAGGAGTGCGAAATGAAAGGGCCTACTTGTAGTTTTTGGCATCCAAGCGGAGTTTGGTTCTGAGCAGATTCTAAATATCCTCCAATTCTCCCATCACATGACAATACTGCAGGGTTCCTTCTAGGCATTACAGCCGTCACCGCAGCAACAGCTGGTTCGTTGTGCTATATGTGCCCGTTTCCCACCAAACCAGATAACAAAAAGCAGATCGAAGCAACATGATATGAAATCCTCATATATTCAGTCCCCCATATTGTAGCAACGGCAGCAACCAATGTTATGCAGTGTAAACGATCCAACCCCAAGAAGTTAACGTTGTTCACATGACTGACAGAATGAGATCCAACATTGCCATCGGCACCGGCCATCAAAACTACTGGAAAGAGCTGTAACTTGGACATCATCCCTGATCAGCCGACCCAATCCATCAAAACGACAACAAGCTACAAATCAACAATCGGAAAGCACCATTCGAAAGCAAACCGTCGTGACCAAAAACACAAAGCATGGTTCTCGCAAAAAAAAACAGGTGGGCTATTTACATACAACTTCGCGCCGTGGAACCGCCGGCGCGACCGCCGCCGCTGCCGAGCTTCTTGATGAGCGGCTTCGGTCTCGTCTTGAATATCGTCTTTCGCGCTACCCTCCCCACCACTCGGTACTCCACCCTTTGTGCCGGTGGCCGCCTTGCCGCGCCCCCTCCTTCCCCCTCGCGGTCGCCCCCACCCTCCGGTGTTGCGCCACTGCTGCCGCCGCCACCGCCGCAGTTTTCGTCGTTTACGTCGACCACAACCTTCCTCAGCACGAGCAGGGGCTTGGGTTCTGAGGCGGCCTTCCCCTCTAGCTTGTGGTTGCTGATCACCAGCATGGCTTTCCCCTACAAAATCGTGGCGTGTTGTTTGGTGATGTTGCGGGGAGGAGAGGGACGGGGGCTCAGTGTACTACCGCATAACCTTGCATCTTTGCAATGTCGGAACGGGTCTCGGGTTTCCGCTAGTCGCGCAGGAAGAGTGCAGTCGTCCCTGTCTCTCGTCGATCGTGAGGTCGAAATATTGTCACGATTTTGCAGTAGTCGTTTTCCACCGCAAATTCAAGTTTCTTTTTCGCTTCAGGGCTGATCGAACTCCACCCAAAATGCAACTTAAAAATTAGATATGATTAGGGGTACGAGGAAAATCACTAGCAGAACTAGAAGACCACCGGGGGGCGACCGGTGTACGCGCGATAAAACTATAAAATTAGTGTCGTCACCGCGATAAACCTTGAAGCGAAAAGGCGTATCCATACCAGGGCGTCGGCGTCAGTTGGACCGGCAGGGATGTTACAAGGTACTGAGCAGAGTCCGGAACCACTTTTCGAGTGAAGACAACAACAACAACGACATCAACAATAACATAATCAAAAACATGACAACAATCTTGGTCTGTACAACGGCCAGCAGCGATGGCGGTGAACCCGGATCCCTCCGAATCGAGGTTCAACGGCACCACCTGCATGCGACCGATGCCCCTATGATTCTCTCCACCGAGCAGGGCTGTAATTCCACACGCAAACGCGCGCACGCCTTCTGGTCATGAACCTGTGCGCCTTGGTGTGCCCACCTCTGAGCACCCCAGATAGATGCCGGTGCTGTATTGAGGCCCCGACAGATGCAGATGCCGATGCTGTAATTGACTTGTAAGTCGAAGCATACTCAAATTGAGTCAATTTTTGAAATTTTAAATCTGTGATGAGGGGACACAACCCACACACATTTCTCCGCTTGGTTAAAACATCACATCGTTTGACCAGATGCATCGGAACCCGCTACACCGAAAAACGTGCACTCACGTTCTCGGAAGTCATGCTCCCCAACGGTTGCCCGGAGAGGGGGTCCTTGCTTATCAGCTCGCCCTGCAGCTCCACCATCGACCACAGAGGAACGCACACACCCCGGTTCCCGTCCTTGCTGCTGCCGTCTCCAGTTTCCCGCGCAGCAGCTGCCTGCGCCGCTCTGTCGATACTCACGGGTATGATCATTTTCCCGTCCTCTCTCGTCCAAAAGCGATGTGCTTGTTGATGAGGGCGGGGCTCTCCAACACCCTGACCTGACCCAGTGCTGCTGCTGGCTCCCGCGCGCCTCGCCGGCCAGTACCACCCCTCCTGCCAACCCCGGCCGCGGGACCCCCACCCCTTGATACTATCTTTTGTCTCTGTGTCCACGTCTCTCCGAATACAATAGTAAGTCGTCTGCTGCTGTCTCCCTGTCTGTTCGGCCTCCGGCGGGAGGCGGAGCTTGGCAAGGAGTGCATCGCTTCTCCTACTGCCCGATACCATAGGTGAACGAGCGAACACTAAGGGCTTATTGGGACGTCGAGGTGATGAGGAATTTGGCTCGAGCACCAGGAGTTTTTTGCGTACCACGTGCACGAGAACTTACGCAGCGGTATCTTCCTATTTCATGAAGTGCTTCACCTCAAAAGATCACAAATGGGTGGGAATACAGCCGTTACGTTACCGATCCTTAAAACACGAACACAGAGGGATCCCATTTGTGTCAGAAGATCTCATGACCTTTTCGAAATTGGTGGGAATTGTGGTCTTCATGTTGCAAGTATAATGGTACCGTTGCTTTAGTCACACCTTACGCCCACAATCGTTTCTCCACAGTGCAAGCTGTCACGAGATCTCCATGCTATGCATACTAGATACTACGCTTGTTCCCGCGATGCACGAATCTTCAAGTCCGAACCCTGCAGGTTGTCAGAGCGTTCGGTTGCTCTCCTTTTCTTTATCCTTTCGTATCGCCCCGCTAAAACCCATGCAACCAAGAGTCCATCCCAAGCACCATCACGAGCTGAAAACAGCGGAATGTAAATGTTCACAGACAAGGTGCGGTACATAGAAATCCTACATCTCCATCATGACGTTATACTACAGCGTCTGACAATACCATAACCGTGGTAAGGCACCGTCACACTGTAGTACCTCCATTGCCGTGAAACTCAAACCATGGAACCTCTCACGGGTGCACTGCCCTCAAGTCACCTCACGTCAACCGGTGCGGTGTTATGTTCGGGGTTCATGTAGGGTGAGACTTGGGTGCGAAGAGTATGAACAAAACTGCTGTGACAGCGTTTGTTTTCGACAATCTTGTATGCATTTCGTCGCCTCAAGATTGTCAAATGTCAAAACTGGACTCCAAAAAGAAAGAGGCGACGGCGGCGGGGTAGGGTGGGGGGTGGGGGGGCGTGACGTTGTGATGCTTGATTCCCACCCACTCTGCGTTCTCTCACCCACGCTCGTTGACCGACAGAGAACTTTCTGTTTGCGACTACAACGGTAGTAATACTCACCACAAGGCTTCACCGAGTGCCCGGCGAACGTTGCGCGCGCACCATCGCCAAACAGAAGTGGTGTGGGGACCGCGAAAAGCGTCGTGTGCGTACCACGACACATGTCCTGCCGTACCAGGATGTACAGCAAGCGCGTGCTCGCGCTCTCATGTCTCGGCAATCGAAAACCCGTGGGCCACAATATGCGCAACACGTAGCGGTACTGGCGCGCCTCGAGCGGAATTTGCATTGGTTGAAACTAGCTTCCCGCCAGTTGCTCAAACGTCTGGCTATCGGTTCAAGATCCGGGTGCTGGGGTCTGTGGCGATTTCGTAGCATTGTTCTCCGCTGGCTCGAGGCCCGTAGCCACAGGTCAAAGGGTGCTCCCCTATCCCTTATCGCCGTCCTTGCTCGGGAACGAGAGGTACGCGAATTGGGATACGGAGCTACCCACTTCCAGGGGCAGTTTTCAAAGAATACATAGGGTTGTTTTTTGCGACGCTGCGCTGGGCAAGCGGTCTTCACGTGAGGATAGTTCGCTGCCGCGAAGGGCGTGACGGCTCACGTTGCCATGTGCACTTCGTGGCCCCCTGTTTCGCGACTGCCTAGTGTATTTCGCGCGAGCTGCACCCACAAGACCCACTTGTTCCGACAGCGGTGCAGTATTCCGTGATATTTCGTGGCACGAGGTCAGCCCCTGACCTTTTTCCTAACACAAATGATCACATGTGACGAAGTTGGACACTCGCTCGGCTTTGCACGCTCCCAACATAGCCCGCGCGAAGCAACTATTGGCTTAAGCCATGTGCCTACCAAAGGGTGTGAAATCCTGACAACAATATCGTCTTATGAGTCACCACTAATGGTCAAAATTCTCAAGGTCGATTGATTTTCATGGGCAGCAGGCTTGAACCTCGGGTTTGACTCCTGTTGCACACACCATTTGCCGTCTCAATCACCTACCTTTTTTGCTCAGGGGGAGAGTCGGAACCTGACAAACGATTGGGCCACCCGGACGAGGTGATCGACAGGAAGAGAACGCAATGGCCGATAACAACACGGAGGGCCGAGAAAAGCTTCCAGGAAGGAGGTGGACATCTTCGACCTTCTCTCTCAAGACTCCACGCCCCAAGAAATGGGCAGAATGGCTTCGGGCCCCACTCGAAGCCGCCGCGGCGCGTGGCGACCAGACTCTCGCACTTGAGCTGGTCGGCGCAGGTGGGGCTAGTGGCAGTGCGGTTCACGCAGCCGTTAGCGGCTGTCACGTGGGGCTCGCGGGTAGTCTTCTCCGTACGGGAGCGCCTGTCGACGGCAAGGACTCTCAAGGGTGCACAGCTCTGCACGTAGCCGCGGCAGAAAGACAGCTCGAGGCAATGGATATGCTTGTCCAAGCTGGCGCCAGTCTCGAGGCAGGGGGCCCTGCCAAATGTACTCCTCTAGACTGGGCAGCTAGGCACGTCAACCCCGCGAGCATCATTGCTTTGTTGGGGCATGGCGCCGCTGTCGACGGGAACGCCGATGAGACCGTGAATCCACTTTTCCGGGTCGTCTTAAGCGAGAGGCCCACTGTCGAAGCTTTGCCCCCCCTCGTGCGGCACGCTTCAGATGTTGACGCGCATGGTGTGGACGATGAGACGGCGCTCCACCGGCTTTGCCTCAAGGCCATGGTAATACCAAACGCGCCAGAGATTGTAGATCTTCTGCTGAGGTGGGGCGCGTGCAAGGAAATTACATGCTACGGTCTCACACCCCTTGGTGTTCTTAATGCGTACAATTCTATGAACACGGACAACCTCAAGCGCGTGCGCGACCTCTTGCACAACGCTCCCGCGGACAGAGCGTGGCGCCGCCGGGGCTTCCTTGTGCTATGCCGCGCTTTCCCGGACCGGATGCACCAAAATGTCGGAAACAACACTCCAACCGCGCACGCCGCCGTCGCCGGCGAGGAACCGCCTGAAGCTCACCCCAGGAGCGGCTTGAGACACCGCCAAAAAGCGGTGCCGGCCGCAACAGCAGCGCGGCAGGGGTGGAAGGCGGCCAAAGCGGAATCTGTGAGCTGGGTCGCGACAGTCCGAGGCCTGGTGGTGACTTGGCAGCTTGGCTGACGAGCACGGGGGAAGAGGCGATTTTCCGCCGCATCGTGATATTCTTGTGAACAGGACTGCCGTCGTTCAGCTGGCAAGGTAGGCTGTGTACTAAGTAAGCACCAAACCTGTTTTCGATATTGGAGTACGCGATCAAGCAGAGATATGAACCCTTTTCAAATTCTGGTGGATTTCGTTGTCGTGGAGTCGGTCGCAGGTGTTCTTGCTAGAGCAGGGTGGGTTTCGAGTTTAGAGCGAGTGACGGTCGAGTCATTAGCACGTTTTACTTTACTTACCGCCTTCGTCCATAAGTCATTGGGCGCATGTTTCCCGCATGCTGTGGGCAACCTTCGCTGAAGGAGGCGCTGGTGTACGGGCATATCCTACACCATTTGCTCACTATTTTCGTGGAAGCGCGGACGATTTCATGGCGGTATTGTTTGCCCGACCTCACCAACCTTGAAATATTTTAAAACACACACCGCCACACGCACAAATGTGCCCTGCCACAGCAAGAACGGCCTAACGCAGTAGCCGATGTGTGTGTCGCTACTTGTTTCAACTTGCCGTGCAAGTGTCCTGTGCGCTTCCGAAATCCAGTCTGTCAGCCACAAGCCTTGGTGGCCTTCTCGCTTGTGCCCACGTGGTATCGTCGGTTCTCGGCGCAATAGGCCAGCCAAACCGTCTAGTTCTTCATAGATATCGACTAGGTTTCGTTTACATTGGCGGCATGTTGGCTGACAGCCGTGACCTCTAATCCAATGCATTCCGTCTCACGCCCTTTTTCGATTCCGTTTGTCGCCGGTTTTATTGCCGACCTCACAGGACACCAATAGGTGCCCCATGTACATACATTTGCCTCCAATCGGTGCCGCATGTGCATACATTGCCTGCCAGAGCAAGCGGCCCAGCTTCCGTTGAGGAGATTGATGAGATCCGCAATAGCAGGAGGTGTACAGGAAATGTGATCCCGAAATTATTAGTTTGCGACGTGTTCGAATGCTGGTGATAGCCACCGTCGTAGTTGCGACGAATTTGGAGCAATGCCTCTTCTAACTTTGGATGTTGTGGCCGAATCTCGTTGGCACTGCTGATATTCATGTCGACCGTGGATCCAAATGCACGGGGTTGTGCCTGCTGTACACGTGGGCGATCGAAGCCTCGAGGAAGCTGGTGCACCGGAGTGGGGGGAGGAGGTTGGTCGTGCCATGTATTGTAGATCACTTCCGTTCCTCGCAGAAAAGCGTGTGGCACGTCCGCGAAAATGGTATGTATGTGGTGCTGATGCCCCTTAACCTTGCGAGGACAATCGGCTACAATAACCTTTTCAAGACGAAGATTAGTATGTTGGGACGAACTCCTTGCGGTTCCCCGTAGATTATAGTATGTGGGGTGTGCATGAGGAGTGTTTTTGAATTGTATTGATTGTCCTACAGTAACTACAGTAGTTACGAGAATATGTTTTCATTGTCAAGCCTTGCTATGGTATGTATACTACAAATTCTGCTGTATGAACACTTCATATATATGTAGGTTGAGATTGCTGTGTGAGAATGCTTTCCATTTTGTCGTTTGGCAGAGCGACCGGTGTTTTAGCTCTTCGGAGATACAACCCGTGTGTGTGTGGGTTTTTCTTGTTCATATTCGATCGCCCCGGTCGTCTAGTTGGTATCCTGGAAACCTCTAAGTGGCTGGGGTTCAGGGGTTCGAATCCCGGCATAGATTGGTAGCTTCTTGCAACGCCGTGCGAGTTTTTCTCTCTCTCGCTCCCGTTCCTGGCCTGGGTGGAAAGCGCTAGTTCGTGTGTACACAGAGGGAAGAGAGTGCTGCACTCTCCTCGCATTAGCGATCGAAGGTAAAGCACCGCAGGAGGGGTGGGTAGGGGACCTCAGGGAAAGGAACCCTTCTCTGTGTGACCACGGGTTGGAAGCAAACGGCACCAATAAATGAATGCTGTGAGCACTGATTTGAAGTGAAGAAAGAACACAAGTGCCCTCGGGAGCGATGCACACACACACACACGTACCTCGTACGAAATATGTCAATGTATTCCGGACGACCGTGGTGTCGACTAAATAAGAGTTTTGACACGTCAACGCGAGGTCATATCGACTGCTGTATGTAGTGGTTGACTTGAGAAAAAAATGAAGCTTGATAGACCTGGACTTTGCCCTGGACCATCCTGTTTCTTGTCTTCAAGGAAGGCTTGGATCTTTTGCGTCACCGGATCGTCTGTCAGCACCCTCTTTCCTCATCTGTCTCCTACACATACATGTCGTTGGCCAAGTGCATGGTAAACGACGAACCACCACTGCCTGAAGCAACCAACCAACATGTCCGGCCACTCCTTACTGTGCATGCGCTGCAGTCAACTCCCGCAAAAGGCGAGGGAAAAGTGAACGATATCATATTCATTTTTGGATTGGGGGCTCCGCGCAAACAACTACAAGAAGTACATACCTGCCGACGGCTGTGCTGCTGCTGTGGTCCGCTGTCGACTGCTGTCCACCTGTGCTTGTGGTGCTCTCCCACAACCCACAACCCGTTAATTGTTGGACAGAGCTCTGTGGTGCGGTTTGTACCAACGCCCACACCCTAGTAATAGGAGGAACCGGTTGTAGTACGGCTAGTACTCCCTGCCGTCTTTATGCGGTGCTGTGTGGCTGCTAGACGCAGACACAGCAACACACTTGTTGAACCTCACGGGCTACTCGGCTAGTCGTCAACAATGAGCGGTTCCAGCGGGGGCGGGAGCAGCGACCATCGTGGCACCCCCAGCAAGGGCGGGCGAAGCGACACTTATGGCACGGTGAGCCACGCCACCTTGCAGCAGGTGGGCGTTTACAGCGGCAGCTACGCTGTGCCTGGAGTGTTTGGCGGGCAAACTTTAACTTTCCAACATGGAGGAGGGTCAGCTCCTCGCCCGCCTTCAGTTTCGGCACCAACAGCACCGTCACAACCACCGCAAGCAGCAGGCAGCATCAACGGCACCACGAACCACATGGTGCTGGATAACGACCCATCTCTTCACCATCCTCCTGCCATCACCTCGGTGGCATGGGGCGGCGCTGCCATCGCTTCCCCGGCCATGTTGTTAGGGCAGCAGGAGGTGCGCGTGCATGTCTTTTTTTTTGCAAGTTTTGTGGGATGCATACGGTAACAGCAGTCCACCCCTGCAGGAAGGTGTCCCTCTTGGTAGTACATGTAGTGCGTATGATAAGACTTTAAAGACGAATACTTTGAAGGGACTGTTGTCCTAGCTGATTGATTCATTGTGTATTTTCTAAAGGTAAAGGGCGTCGCAGACGTGCAGACCTCTCAGAAAATCGATCTTATGTGGGCGGCTGATTTTTCATGACGGACCGAAAGAGCGCGACCGAAAGAGAGCCTAGCAGCGCAGGGAAATATCCGCTGGTTGTGGCAAAGAGAAGCGCCTGGAGCTTGTCTCCCCCAACATTCCATGCAGTCTACCTGCTCCACACACTTCTCTTAACCCAAGAAGCTTTCCCCAAACTTATATCTCCGTTCAAGACAAAACCGCCGAAACGGCGCGTGCCAATATATATGCGGTTGCGAGTCCCAACCTGTGGTACATGATGTTGCAGGGACAGGCGTGCTGCTACACTTGCCCTCACCGGCCCAATCTCCCGAATAGCGGGTAACAGGCTCGTACTAGGTACCTTGGAAGACCTGGTTTGTTTTTCTTGTGGCGGCGAATACCATAAGCAGTCAGTGGTTTGAATGCAGATTTGTGGAGTTGAACGCAGCTGTGGCCTTCCTTAGCACGACTCAAGCATTAGCTCTAAAAGCGTACCAACGCGCAAGCCGCTGCTACAGTATTTCCCTCTAGTGATGAAGCGTTTTAGAGATCGTTTTCCAGTTCTGGACCTCCACCATGTTGGAATTTGGGCAGAACCGATCGACAGCCATGCGATAGCCGGCCGCGTTTGGCTCTCTACAGAACGCGTCCTCGCTTACAAATAGAACCTCTAGTTTCGGCAGAGGCTGGGGTTCTGGGTTCCTAGGGTCATGCTACGAATGATCGCTAAACAGGTTTTGGTGCAGGGGTTCTTAACTGAGCTCACAAATGGTGCTCAAGTTCTTAACCTTGATTTTTTTCGAGGCTCAATTTCTCAACTCCTGGGTTCTTACGTGCGGGCGCGTTCTGTGGTTCGGTCCACATGGTTCGAAATGTTTATATGTCTTAGTACATTTGTGGACACCGCGTTAGTGTGCATGGAAAGAGGGTGTGGTTTGAAGCCCACATGGTGGTGTGGATCCGTGCAGCCTTTGGTTGGCCCATAACATCGACAGACCGGTCTCGTCGTTCGGTCTTCGAATCCATCGTGCCCGCCTCTTCGTGTGTTCATGTACGTCTACGCCTGCTTGGGGGCCAGAGCGTTCCGGCCACAAGCGCCTTGCAGTTCGCACAGCTAGGACAGCAGCTGCTCCCGCACCAGCAGCTTCACGGATTCGGAGGGATCGGATCGTCCGTTGCCCCAGCCGCTCTGGTTCCACCGGCCCAACTGGCTGGCATCCACCCTACCGCTTCGCTCACAACAGCGACCTCCGTCGACACTGGGGTCAGCACGCATGTAGTCGATGGTGGTGTTGCTGGCCAGGGGGCGATGACATCAGTGCTGCAACAGCACCCCCCCCCACCCCTCAGCGATATTGGTGGCGCTGTAGTACCCCTCCCCGTGGCAAACAGCGGTCCCACATTCACCTTCAACGGCGGTGGCGGTGGAGGCGGCGGTATTGACCCGCTGACGAGGCCTGTCTTTCAGCCTGGATTCAACCCAACGGCACTGCAGAACCAACAGCAACCGGCACCGGTGTTCACGACCCCGTCGTCCACGGGTTTCCCACTCTCTGCCTTCGTTGGCAAGCAGCAACAACAGCAGAAGGCGGCACCGGCGTTCACGATCCCGCCATCCACTGGATTGCCCCCCTCTGCCTTTGGTGGCGAGCAACACCAGCCGATGGTGATGCCCGTGATTCAGCAGCAGCAGCAGCAGCAGCAGCAGCAGCATGAAGAGCAGCAGCAACAACAACCAGGAACGCCTGCTGCGAGCATCACTGCAGCGTTCGCGCCATTTCCCCCGCAGTCTTTCTTGCAGCTTAATCCGGTGAGAAGGCGGATGAATCGCGTTGTCCAATCAGTAGCGGCGTTTGCATGCAATACAAGGGTTATGACCTGTCAAGAGAACCCCCCCATATTCCTCCACATCCTCCAACCATCCACGCTGAACCAAGCCAGCGTTCCATCAGCCGCCAGTATACCCAATGTTGTCGTTTGAGGCCATTTTCTGGCTAGGCGGCTGTCGCTCACTTGTTTTCGTTTGTCTTACCACGCTTGGCGTGTTTTTCATCTGCTTCTTTGTGCATCTCTTTTGAAACCTTTCGACAAAGGGCAGAGCTTGTACCACGGGGGTGGGATCGGAATTGAGATTTCGACTACGAGCGGCTAGCCTGACCCCCGAGCCGAGGAGACTGACTGATTGTTGGAGGCGCCGCCCCCCGCAGCGTGTTTTTGACGGAATTTGCGCGCGCGGCTCGCAGGTCCAAGTGCGACGTTCTCGCACCCCCTGGTTGCTCAAATGTCCCTACTTCACCCGCATGATGCAGTGCGTTTGTCAATTCTTTCAACTCGCATCTCGTGACAAAAGCACATGCACGTGCGTGCGAGCGTGTAGTTTGTATTGACACACGTACTGTGCCGATGGCGCCGATTGCACACATGTTTCACGTTTTTTTGTAGCGTTCATGATGTGGTACTACTTTCATGGACTCGCACACTCTCCCGATGCCACCGTGTCCATCACACGTGCTTGCCTGCGGGTGGGGTGTCGGGCGTAACGGGGGCTGTTGTCTAATGATTAGCCGCCAATCAGGTTTTTCTAGTACACGTCTTTCGTTCTTCGCTGCGCTCTTTCAACGAATACGCACGGTGTTCGCGCCATTTCACGTCAAACCCGACCATTGTGCCTACTCGTGGCCCGGGCGTGTGCGTGTGTGCGCTTGTATGCGTGTGGGCGGCGTGGCGGTGCGGGGGGGGGTTGGGGGGGGGGACTGGAACAATCGGACTGTTTTTTTGAGCAGCTGTACCCGGGGCTCCGCAATTTGCGGGAGACGCCACCCCTGTACGTGGTGGACGACTTCTTCAGCGGCCCCGAATGTGACGCCCTGATAGCCTTGGCCGGGAACTACATGATTGTTAGCCCTGTGGTCGGGGCCGGCGCCGGGGAGGTGAGCGAGAGCAGGACTAGCAGCTCGTGCTTCCTGGCGAGGGAGGACCTTCCGACCGTGTGCCACAAAGTGATGGCCCTGACGGGGAAACCCATCGAGCACTTGGAGCTCCCGCAGGTACGCAGACGTGTGGTGGGGTCTCTTGTCTGATAGGCATGGACCGCGCAGCAGGGCCGACCAATTGCAATAGACGCGATGTGAGTTGGTAACAATCACGTTTTTTGAAGGTGCATTGTAAGGATTTCCGTGTCGTTCTCTCTACCTCCTTTCAGAGCTGTGTGGACTAGGCCGACCACAGCCTCAGGGTGTTTCTGCTTTCCTTTCCTCTCTCCTCGTTTTGTCTTTCTTGACGCCTTGGATGAATACCCATGCAGCCCAGAGCTCATCAAGCTCCAGGCCACACACTGATACAAATGGAAACAAGATGCCCAAGAACTCCTGCATCTCCATCGTGGCGTCATTGAATATCGCCTTTCAACACCAAATAACGATGGAAACGCTCTATCACACGGCTACCTCCAATTACTATACCAAATGGGGCTCGAGTGATGATGCGCATCTGTGATTTCAGACTAGGCCGTAGGCTATCTCGTGATGCCCTTCCTGAGTTACAAGAGCGGAGTGTGATTTTTCGAGGGGACCATTTGGCATGCAGCCACTTGCGCTATGCCCGATGTCATACGGTGTGGTATTGCGCAGGCCATTATTTTTGCCGTGCCTTCGCGTCGGAGCCAGAAGTCGGCATGGTCTCGATTCCCCCGATCAGTCTGCGCGATGATCCGAACCGGCCTCAGGCATCACGCGTTATTTTTTTTGTGTCCGGTTCGATTTTTTGAACGCGCGCATGGATCGTGCCCCAGGCGTTTATTTCGTGCCGGATCCGCTCTGACTTTGTGCATTGTCCGGAATGGACCACCCTGTTGTTTAAGTCAATGCGTTTGGCTCTTCCATCCGCGTGTGCATGGTGTACATCGTGCCCTACTGGAACATGGTATCGCAGTACCGTGTCCAATCGTGTTCTCTGTCGCATACCCGCCCTGCATGCGTGCTCACATTCACTTTGAATCGTTTGTTACGCCCGGAGACTCACTGCAGTCCTCGACGATCCTATCGAGTTTTTGTTCAATCGGGTATAGGTAGACCTTCCCATGTACAAGACGTCCGTAGGTCTAGGTGGGTGGCAAGCGGTGCAGTCATAGGCCTCTCACCAAAAGTACCCCCCGACGAATGGGATACACATCGGTGACGTCATGACACCGTTTCCCGCGCCTCCATAATTGTGCCCACCGTTCAACGACGCGGCCGACAATCTGAACTCACTAGCAGCACCGGAAAGCACATTTCTCTCATCAAGCAGCAGCACCAAAAGCAAACTTGTCTTATCCGCAGCAGCACCAAGAGCACGCATACCTCGTCGATCGGTGATGACCTCACAAAAGTCTTAGCAGCTACCTGGTTGATCTGCGGCGAGGGAAATTGTCCCTTTGACGAGTGGACAAGCAATTTAGGACATGATGAGGGGAAACACTGTGCATGTTTTTTTTGTTTGCTGCCCACGGAAAGAGCAAGAGGATAATAGGACGCAAACGGTTGGTTTTCGCAGGTGGGACGCTACTATACTTCCCAGAAGTACGCTAACCACTGGGACGCATTCGACCTCAACACAGAGGACGGCAGGCGTTTCGCACAGAACGGGGGGCAGCGCGTGTGCACCGTGCTGGTGTACCTCAACGACGTTCCCTCCGGAGGGTGCACTGCTTTCCCTCAGCTGGGGATGAAGGTTCAGCCAAGAAAAGGTGCGCGGTTTCAAGCTGGGGTTGGTCGGTGGTTCTTGGTTGCATGCTTGTCGCTATGCGGCGGGATATATCGACGATAACGTATGTCGAGCTCGTTTTTCGCTGCTGCTGCTGCTGCTGCTGCCGCTGCTGAATGGACAATGGATCCAAGAGACTGCCGAACGTACTTGCAGCCTAAAAGTGGAGTACTTCCTGTTGGGTACAATTTCATTCGGAGTCTCCTCATCCCCTGGACCTCTGCGGGACACTAACCACGTGCGCGCGCAATTGCACCCGTCTTTCCCGTCTGTGTTGACCTCGTCCTCCCGCCAAACTCGTCCTTCGTTTCTAAACGTACTCGCTTTGCTTCTCTCTTGCATGCTCGTTTCGGTGGGGGGGACTTTTTGAAGGCATGGCCGTAGTCTTTTTCCCGGCCACGCTGGACGGAGTGCTGGACTCGAGACTTCTGCACGCGGCCGAACCGGCCATAGACACGAAGTGGGTCTCCCAGATCTGGATTCGGCAGGGGGCTTACCACGGCACACCTACCGCCAGGATTCCCGCCATTTAGTACATCTATCGCTACCTTGTTTGGCAAGGTGCAGTCCGTCAGGCCCATTTTGTCAATTTGTCAATTGTTTTGGTGCTACAAACGCTGCAAGGTCAGTACTGACATGTGGTTTGGACGGAAGCGTGATCCTCGTGGTGATTATTGTTTGGATCTTGGTCTTGGCCGAAAGCCGTATACACGAACTGAACCTAGATGATCGAGATCGGCTGCCATTTGTTTCTCCTCGGCTGATTTGTTCTTGTCTGCGGATGGGGGTGGGGAATAGGGGGGAGGGGATCCTGGGTTTATGTTGTTTTCCGCGCATGGCCGCAGCAGCATATTTTGCACTGCGCCTGCCCGTAGAGGTGGGGATGGTGATCCTGGTCTTGCTGAACTTATCTGGCTCGCAGGGCTAAATACCTCGTTCATCGAAGCTGTTTGTTTCGTAATCGATGGTCTCGGATAGAAGTTGTGTCGGGGTTTTGAGGCAGGAGAAGGCAGATAGGCCAGCTGCTGCACGTCTTGCCCCGAAATGCCCGAATGGTTGTAGAGAGGGTGTTTAGTACTCGTACGTACGTACCACGATTTAGACGTGTACAGCAAGGCGTGTCGAAGGTGAGAGAGGAGAGGGTTGAAGTGCCATACCTCGTTTTTCCCGCTCTTAGTTCGACTCCTCGCCTGTTTCGTGGGTGGTGACCCCTACTGTATACATAATATACGGTAACAATGCCACGCGCAACTCAGGTGCCGCAAGTCGGACGCGACATGAGGTATAGATGACCCGCTTTTGCTTTAGACTCAAGTTCAATGGTGCCCATGTGATTGTTGGACACGCTGGACGACCAAGCTGAGAACACGGGGGTGTTTTTGTTGTTGGATGGTGCTGCTGTGGCGACAGCCAGGGTGTCGTTGCGTGGTGTCCCTGACGCAGCAGCAGCAAGATTGCCGCAGGACGATCCTCTCGAACGTTGACTTTGTCAAGATTCTCTGGTGTGTGGGTTGTACATCAATGCATTGTTCGTGGTGTGATTCGGCTTTGCATTATTTGGTGCTCACCGCGCACTAGTTATCGTGCTGACCTGGGTTCGCGTTTGTTCGTGAATTCGCAAATCCTGTTGTTGCAGCGTCTTTGCTGTTTTTATTTCCCTATCGTTTTTGGTGTCTCTCTTGCGTTATGAGTTAGCCTACCATCGGTGAAGACACTTGCCGAACAGATGACGCCAGGTTTCGACCTTTTCTTTCCAAGATGGATGAGCTTGTTCAAATTGCTCCTTGTCTCGATCGCACAAGACAGGATGGTGGGCGTTGGAGTTTGATTTTGTACACGCTACACGAACAACACTGTCTTTGTTTGAGTTCTGTTTGGAGGGTTTCTGTCGCCTCGCCTGCGGTGGATGCAGAGCGAGCGAGGCCGGGGTGGGCAAGGCTTCGACGATCTACGCTTCAAATGAACTGCAAGAAGCTGTTGTTGCACGGAGAAAAAGAGGGGTGGTGGTGAATAGAATAGATAAGGGCGTTAACTATTGATGTGTTCCCAGCGATTGGTGAGTCATTCGTGTGTAACTCGTAGTGCGTAGTTGTATGTTAGCAGTGCGTCTGGGTGCACTTGTGCCAAAAGTTTTATGCTTAACAATCGTAAGAGGCAGCGGTTGATGTCATCGAAATGGCAGCAGGCAGGGAACTCCCGGCTTGTTTTGTGTCTTCCGTATGTTGCCAATTTGTGTTGCAATCCTTAACCTTGGCAAGGGTTGGGTATTGATTGCGCAAAACCCCTCTATGTCGTATCAGATACCCCGAAAACGCGAGTTGGTCCTGATGTCGATTCTACAATCGACAAACTGAAACCGCAGCACAGCAGTGCGTCCAGCGGCCAGCGATTCAAACCGGTCGCGCGTTGCACTTGGAGTCTTGGAGTGTTGGGTTGGTCCTTCGGGGTGTGAAGGTCAAGACAGAACGATTCTCTCCACGGCCTACTTGTGCATGATTTCCCTTTGAGGAAACATCCCTCCTCACCTCGGAGACCTTGAACCCATCCGCGAAGGAGCAACAAAGTGACACAAGAACGGGGGGTTGCCTCTGCCTTGAATCGTCCGGTGTCGACAACAAAGGAAAATATATCCCAGAAAGTTCGCATGCCGAACCAAAGGTCGGGGTCTGCTTGGAAGTCGGATAGTGTGTGGTTCTTGTTGTCTCCTTCACTCCAGATCTGAAGAATTTTCCAGTGTCTACAATTTGGGCGCGTTACCGCACGAAAATTCAATCGTGTCGACGCGAAAAAATAAATGTATGGGCAACCATACTTACACTAACCATCGACACCGCAAGGGGGAACACGGAAAAGGATATGCGCCCCTTGCCGAGTAGAACATTCAACATATGTAAACGAAATTCTCCTTTCCCAAAAGTACGCAGGTGGAAAGACCCTAGTATCCACACGGCCGCCGGATAACCCTTCAAAGAGCCAGCCACGCGTGTGATAGAAAGGCAAAGGGAGGAGACACGCAGCCATTCCGTTTGAACTACACGTGCCACCTCTCTTGGTTTGGGAAGCAGCCGGTGTTTCGGATCCAGCGGTTGCGCGACATAAATAGACATCTCCGATGGGACATGAGGAGGACGGGTTACACAGCTGGAGAGACGTGCTGCTTCTGCTCTCTAATGAAAAAAAATAAGTGATCCGGACATCATCCAAACCAACACAGGTGTGTACGCAATGGCATCTTCATGCGCTAAAGAAGTTGCAGAAGCCCATACCGACACGCGCACATGCCTATTCCACCCGTCTAAACTGCATACGCTCGCGTGATGAAGTGCGCCGGTGCTATGCGACATACTCGAGGAGAATACCTACATTCTAAATCAACCACCAAGAACCGACAAGGAAGCACGGGGGGGAAACAATACAACGTTTCCGCACACCACATCCAGACAAGATCTTGGAGATCCTGTGTACTGTACTCGCACGCGGCCTGAACGATGTACGTATACGTCGTCCACTCCGCTCATCTTGCATTTACTATCTATACACATACTTTTCGATGCACAACGCGACGCAATACAGAAGCGCATATGAAGCACTACATGTGCAATCAATATCCATCTGTGCCAAGTCAACACCATCAAGTACAATGAACATGCACACTCACACATACTGGATGCTCTTGTGGACATTCAACCAAGGGTACCACAAATCGAATACCCGCCACCAAACATCTTCCCAACATACCCCTCTACACCTTTCCAGCGTAACATGCAGTCAGATACAGACGATGACCACCTACCTGTTTGTCGAGCCTGTTACCCACAGGGGAGATGTCGCTTTTTGCTGCTCCGGGAACTGCAGAAGAAGTGGTAATCGTACAACACGACTACAATTCATTGCTACTCAACCACGGACTCTTGTCTGTGGAAGAGATGGATTTGTTGTGTTCTTTGTAAGAAAAAAAAAAAACTCACGTCTAAGCTGTGTCGAGAACTTGCAAATATGCGCTGTTGTTAATTTGGCCCCACCTCCCCCCAAACCGCGGACAGCCCTCGCAACAGGTCAATACCCCGACCGTACTCGGTCGCCAATTCCTCTGGCCTTCACGCGAGCGGCCTCGCCCGCCCAGTTGGCCTCTGCCCGAAATATCCGCAAAAAACCCTACGAAGTAGTCCGGATTTCATGAACAGTGCGCGACGTGCTCAAATGCGGCGGCGGTCTCGCTTCTAGAGTTTCGATAGGCTAGGGTGGGGTCCGAACCACGGTTGTCCCATGGCCTGCGCCAACACGTCGAACCGATCGCAGCCGAAGAACGCCTCCCAAGGCTTCCTATCGTCATCGTCGTCGGCGCATGTTCGAAGGGATATCCAAGGCGCCCCAAACGCGCCCCTGTGCTTTCAATGGTGGTGGGAGTGCGATGGGAGGCGCAACAGACAGAAAGAACCACATCAAGTGAACAAGGGCGAACTTGATAGTTGACAGGGGTATCGATGTCGTTATACCTACGATGCGCGACGAAAGGCCGACGTAGGGAGAGGAAGGACCGACCGACAGATACCCAGGACGAGGGGAAGAGCGGGAGAGATACGCAAAGACATACAACAAGACAGACACTCAGAGATACGCAGCAAGAGGTTGTGGAACGACAACAGACCCCAAGAAAGCGAGAGAGAGGGGGGAGACATGACAGCACAATCGAGGGCAACTTGAACAGATGCAGGTAGCCAACCGAAAGAATGTGGACAAGATCCCGATGCAAACTAATGCTGTGCCCAAAATGCCAGAAACATTTGGTCACGCAGTTTGCCATATTGCCATAAATTGCGTTGTTCTGGGGCTGCCCTGCGCGGAAGCTCGTGAGAGGTACGGAGGGTCCCGAAATCGAGAGCCAACGTTGTGTTTCTTGTAAGCTGGAAACAAGAAAAATAAACTGAACAACAACACTGCAGCGACAGCAAAGAATATACATAGGAGGATTCACCCCTGCCATCTTTGATTCGGCTTGAACGCTCTGACGTTGTCGTTTTGAGACTGGTAAACTGACCCACCTCCGGAGGGCTACTTCTGTCTCCTCTTTGAGCCTAGCCTTGATGTCAGCATCGCCCGATCTTGCCAAGAGAGATCTGGCAGAGCTAGCGTCCATCCCCGTCCCCATGCACGCCTCCTGGAGACCCTGCGGCTCACGCAAATGCGCACGTGCATATGCAGCCCCCAAGTAATGGAGTACAACGATACGAGCACTTCGTGGTAAGAGCGCAACACCAGGTACTGAAGAGCAGTAGAAGAGCATTGGTGGATACCTCGCCCTCGCTATTCAGGGAACACCTAGGGTCATCATCAGGTTCAGGTCACAACACCCCAGGGGCTTGCCGGTCTACATCAGCACAGCACCACGGCAGCAACAGCGAAACAGAATTCGTCGTCGTTGTGAATTTTCGCCCACCTGCTCGCTGGCAATGTCCCCCCCGCCCCCCCACAGCCTCGTCCACAGTTCGCGGGTGAGGCCCTCTAGTTGCTCCGGCGCATCCACTGCCGCCGCGTTTAGCAGTCTGTGAAGTTTGATTGCGAGTACAAAAGAGGGCACCGGGGTCGTTGAACTACAGCATGCCTTGCCGAAGTCCTCACGCCAACAAGCATAGATCCTATCACCCCATAACCGACCAAGCTGGGACGGACGTGATCGGATTTCGGGCTACCAGCCTGGCATTCTTGGGCGGGCTGGACACACGTCCATATAGCGCCGTGCCCCTTGATAAACCCGAAACGTCGAAGGCGACGAAGTGCTTCACGGTACCTTTGGGCGGCGAGCGTCTCGAACATTGCGCGGGGGTCCTTGAGGGGCACGAGTGGGGCGCCATGGTACTTCGCCATCCTCGCCAGGTCTCCCTTCATGTACTTCCCTTTCGCTTTCAAAGTCGCTGGGGGCTTGTTTCTTTCCGTTCCGTTTTCGAAAGATTTTGTTTTGACACCGAAACACGATGGATAAAGCACGGCCGAACAGCAGTCAAGGAGAGTGTCTCAAGACAGAGAGAACACATGGTGCCTTCGTGGCAAGGCAAGACGACCGCAAGGCTGGGAGATGGGGAAAATTATATTGCGATTCATGGATGGTTAATCAGATGAAGCAACATCGCAAAGAGCAGAAGCGGCAACTGTGGGAGTGTCACCTGAAAATCGCAGAAACATAAACACCCAAAGGATGAGTGAACACGGGCGGTCGGCGGGGGTGGGTGGGCGTTGGGGACAACCGAAGGATGGGGAGAGGGCGAACAGGGGCGAAAGGGGTGCATATGCCTGATTTCTGGCTGAACGCATACCATCAAAGACTCTTAGAGGGCGCTGAGCGCCCCGAAGACATACGTCCAACAACCGATATCCCAAGCAAGCGCCCCGCCTGTGCGGTCACTTGTCGCGCACCGCAGTCTTGAAAGTCTCGGTAGGCACGCCCGGGAAGACCTCCAAGACCGTTGATTCCTCCTAGCCCCCTGACCCCTCCCTCCCTGCCCTCAAAACAAGGCAATTTTGCAACGTTTGTCCCCTCCCTGCCCTCGAAACTATAATAGGTCATTTTAGAACATTTCTCGTACAGAATGATGGGTCACAAATAGCTCGTTCACCCTGTGGCTTTCATGATGCCGCCGAGGAAGAACGGGCGGAGCGTGATGTCGGCGTCCCACACGCCGAGGTCGCGATATCGCATCAGCGTCTCGAATGCCAGCCAGCTGTACGGGCTGCGAGCGTCGTGGGGGGCGGGGGGAGCGCATGACCGGGGCAGAGTACGTTACTTCGCGCTTGGTGATGTCGTGAAGGCCGTGCTGTTTTCGAGGCGGGTTTGGCGTTTCATGTTGCCACAGGTGGGCATGCCCGTGCATCGCAGAGTATCCGAGGGTCGGGCGATCCAACATGCACACAACCCAATCTCGAACTCGAACTCGAAGCACAAAGACGCACGACTTCACGTTCATACTTCGTACAGAGATGGCAAGAGACGAAGGAAATGTCCGCCATACAAGTATTTTGGACGTACGTATCAGTGTGCACAGGATGCATCCGAGTCCCATAGCAGTACATGGAATTTGCTTCATTTTCGTAATTTGGGGACGACCATGTAGGCCTACACCTTGATACCAACGACCCCGGTACGGTACAAGAAACAGGATATTTCGACACTGTTTTATTCAGACTATCAGATACAAACATGCATAGGGTAATGTGAGTCCAAATCCATCCCGGGAAAAAAACAGTTGGCCTGCTGTACAGCAGGTCTGCTTGCTTGGACTGCTGTAGTTTAACTCAGGACACTGCTGTTGCGAGCAGGGCGGAAGGTACAGCAGTACAGATTCGCAGCCGTGTTGATAGTGTCAGGCCGATTCTGGACTTCCGGCATTCGGTGTGGCTAATTTCCCACAGGTGGGACAAAAAAAGTCCTGTTTCCCCCACCAGCTGTAGCTCGCCCTACAAGACTCCAGTCGACAAAGAACATCTACCTTGTGCTGTGCTACAACAGGCTATAGTCTAGGCCTAATCGTGAAATCCGTCATTGTTTACCCTGCCGGCCGTGCAGCAACAAATACTGCTGTACCGTTTCAGCTCTACGACGGGTCTCACGATAGCCCCGCAGCGCAGCAACACAAACGTTCATGTCCTGTGCCGACTGGAGCCTTATCGGGCGAGCTACAGCCGGTGGGGTAGTGTCTACCCAACCGGGGTGGATAATCCCCCCTCCCGCCGCATCGTATTTCGCCGCACACCGTGGCTGGATTTTGCCGCCGCCCCGCACCTTTTCCGATGGTTAGACTGCAGCGATGTTGCCGACACGGTGTCGGGTCTTGTGGGGTACTTCCGCTGGATTCTTTGAACTGATACTTCAATACTCTCTCTCAATCAACCAAGTTTTCCTTTCTCACTCAAGCAACAGACTTCACCTACAGCTGGCAGGCCGCAACAACAGCATAACAGCAGTAGCCAGTATCTTTGACGCTACTCAGCAGCAGACATGTGTACATCACACAGAGGCGCACCTGGCTACATCGTAGAATAAGTCAATCTTTGGAACCGCTCTGCCCCTCCTCCGCGCAGCTGACGCTGCTGTTGCCAACCCTTTTGCTGCCATCGCGGGTACCTCAACGTTCAACTTTCCCTCCTGTGCATGTGCTTCTGGGTGGGACGGCCAGAGAAGCCAGAAACGCGCAGAACGAAGGGCGGGGGGCGGGGGGGAGTGATGACATCGGCGGCCATTCTGCGGCACCCCCCGAAGTCAACAGTCCTCCCAATAAAAAAAAGGAGGTGGGCGTGATCGCTGAGAGGCAAAGCGTTGGTTGGCATGTCCGTGTCCCCCGAAGACGACTGCTCACGTCGTTATCATCGTTATTCCTCCTCGTGGAAGAGAGTCCCATATAAAGCCCGTGTCACGTCCAGAGCAGAGGTAAAGCAGTACCAGATCTACAGGTATGCATGTAAAAGTTTACCAGGCTATGCAGCGGCTTTTTTTTTTGAAACCCTCGTATCATACAATGGTTGACCTCTGATCCAGTCTCCAGTCCTCCGACTCCGGTCGGCCGTGCGTTGGCCGTGTGTGAGGGTTAGGGTTAGGGTTGGGGTTGGGTTATTGAGTTGGGTCGGCCACGGTGGGTGGCACATCCCGTGTGAGGGACTTAGATTCAACATCTGTTATAATTCATTTAGACCTGTTGCTACTTTTATCAAATGTGTATCCAAAGATCCAAACCTCCTCTGATCTTTTGCCACCCACTCCTGTACCCACCAACACCACACACACACGAGAGGTCATGGCATCCCGGCGTGGGAAGAAGGGGGCTGACACTGGCACATCAGACGCCATCGAGACGGCTTGGATCGCGCGCACGAGAGGTGGTGTGACACGCTTCGTCCGCTCAAAGGTCATGAGAAAAAACTTGAAGTTTGTCCTTTCCCATGACCTTTGAGCGGACGAGAAGCGTGTGACGCCACCTCCCGTACGCGCGATCCATGCCGCCTCGATAGCGTCTAAACGCGGTCACCTCCTCAGAATGTAAGTTTGAGCGGCATCGGCGAGGCCTACTCTGCAGCGGCTGCTGGGGAGGCTGAACGTTACCTGGTCCTTTATCCGGATTCGATGCGTCACCAGTCACTGCTGTCAAGGAGATCGCCGCCGGCACCGACGCCATCGCCAGACCAATATGGAAAAGGTGGATGTCGACAATGCGACAATGCATGCAACGTGCGAGCGTGGAACAGGTCGAGTGTCAACGTCCGATGTCGCCCATCCACGCCTTGATGTTTTTTAGGGTTCTTGCCTCGAGGGATGCTTTACAGATCTCGGACTACTGGATAATGAGGGAACTCTAATTTTTGGTAGCTTTCAGTAGCGCTTTTGCACCAACAACTTTTGCGCCAACCGCAAATACGATTTTTCGATTTTTAAATGCGCAAGGCACAGCAGCAGCGCCTCCATAGAGGTACAGCCCAACCAAGTGGTCTACTAGGTTGTTAATAGTTGTACATGCATGCGCGTTGCGGCTCACTCCGACTCGAGATCTTTCAACGTCATTAATCAGCGCGCGCGCCGCGATGACAAATTTGTTGTGCCTAGGCCACGCTGCCTCCTTAAAAAATGCACGTATGCATACGATACTACTTTCAGATCCTCGCCTCGTGCATTTTGGTATCTGGGGTGCGACGGAAATATAGGGGGGGGTGGGTGTTCATCAGCTGGCTAAGAAAAATGACAAGCTCTGCCTCACCATGGTGCAATAAACCGCCCTCTCAACCATCAACAGCAGACTACAACCAACCTAAGTTTAGAAACAAACGCGTGTTAGGGAAGGCACAGGTCGCACACTACTGTAGACCCTCGCACATAGTCGTAGACAGATACACATCAGTGTGTAGAAACGAGCGTGTGGTGCATGCCTCTCTTTTCAGTAGATGACATACACACAACTGACACACAATTAACATTTGTCAGCTTTTCGAACGGGTGTGCAGGCAGGCGTCTTTCTCTCATCTATGTCGCCGCCGCCTCTCTAGCTTGACGAGACGCAGCAACGGCCGACCCAAATTGACCAAACTATGACGCAGTGAGTTCAATTGTAGAGGTCTCGCCCTGCAGTCTCTGTATGCCTCGTGTTGTGTCTCCCGGCCCCCTCGTCCATGTCTCCGCCTTTCTCTCCGTCGGATGCTCGCAACTTACGTTCCTATACATCCAAGCAGTATTGACATGGCAGTAGGTTGTTGTGTCGAATAACGAAGGACCAATAACCACCCCCAGCGGCGGGCCTCAAACTTAAAACCTCTTGTTATTAAACTTGCTCTCTTTTGGCTTTGTGGTACTCCTTTGACCTTACTTACTGGCCTCCAGAAAAAATCCTCCAAGACGCGTTTGGTTTTCTACGCAATCGAAAAGAAAGAATATGCAAGAATATACATGAAAAAAGCAAAAATGCTAATAACCGGGATACAGACGATCGACCCCCGGTCAAAAAGGGATGGAAGAACGAGAGACGAAGAAAGAAAGAAAAGAAAGAGAAAAAAAAAGAGAGAGAAAGACAACGAAAGGTCCCCTCCAACGCTCCAGTCTACCGGAACAACAACGAAATAGGCAACTACTAACGTGACACCAAACAGATGATGACACAACATGATGACTTCGGGGGCACTGCGAGGGAGACGGGGGTTACTTGCAAATACAATAATTAATGACGTAAAATCCCGTTCAAATTGCTTTTAGCGCAACTGCACACACATATTCATTATTAGGAGCCTGATAGCTTACAGCGATGCGAAAATCTGTGGGTAACCGCATATATATTTGACCGTCGAAACCGCAAGGGGGAACACTGAAAATGAAACGTGTCCCTTGCAATTAGGATAATCGATTTCTGTGCACCTTTCATAAAAATTCCCATACACCCAGGTGACAACGGAAAAATTGGGAACGCCGACAAATTCCGCTGAACCAGAAATCTACACTTCAAAGAGCCAGCCAGCCACATCTATATCTGCTGAGAGGAGCACGCATGCAGTCATTCCGGTTTTTGCTCAGCCACCCACCTCTCTTGGATTGCGGAGCTAGCCGGCATTTCGGACCCAGCCGTTGTGCGATAGATACTAATCATCTCCGATAGGACTTGAGGAGGACGGACTGTAAAGCTGTAGTAGTATACTGCATTGCGTTTTCTCCTTGCTGCTGCTCTTGGCTGACCCAGGACTTCGAAAAATTCCCACAGGTACGAACAAATTCCTTTGCTTTGTGTGTGGTCGAAGATGGACTGCGTTATGTACAAGCCCAACATGCCACCATGCACAACATACTGCTGCTGCCTTCACCTGTCGCCGCCCTTCCACGTCTACCTGTCCATGACACATGCTGCCAAGTGATGCGACAACATCTGGGAACAACACGAACACAGGGAGTACTCCCCCTACCCGTCAAAATTGCTTACAAGCTACGTAGAACAACCTCTCATTCCTCCCATGCCAAATACAAATAAATGATGTAGCATGCATGAAATGATAAACTCTATCTTTACTTACTTGTGGTCCGCGCTGCCAAATGGGAGAGGTTGCCATACCTTCTGCCTACACACCGGCGAGAGAGGTAACCATACCCACTGCATTTAACACACACCCACATGTCGGTGATGAAACCTCAACCACACGCCTCTATCGGCGACCACGTCGTCAGGAGACAATGATGAGAGACTGTTCTCCCGTGCCCTTTGCACATTTAACGTCATGAAGTTACACAAAACGGTAAGAAAACGGTGAGACCACTCCCGTGTGTCCGCACATACTCCGAAAAATGTGTCCGCACATATGCATACTCCGAACATATGCGTACCACACTGAAAATACGCTTGAAAACTGAGGGAGATTGCATGCCCTACGACGAACAGGGTGCCACATACAAAACGCCCGACTACCCAACAGTACCCATCACCTTTCTTTCTGCTGCACCTTCCCAACATAACATATATGAGACACACAAGACAGCTACCAAACAAACTGTTTTGTTGAGCCTGTTACCCGCAGGGGGGGGAGATGTCCCTATATGCTGTCTGGGAAATCGTAGACATACAGGTAGCTTTTTCTGACGCTATGAATTCATTGCTAATCTGTCTCTGACTCTTTTCTATGATAGAGATGGATTCGTTGTGTCATATTAAGAAAAAAAAAATTCTTTCGAGGTGGTATGAAGTCTTTCCCCCATGGGAAGAATAATGTTGGAATTCACTGTTAGTGCACTGCCGCCCTCAGCGATCTGTGGTGTTGAGACTGGGGACTATGTTATCCCAGGAACAGCTGATAAAAAAGGACCATGTATCGTATATATTCGTCACGCAAGCCCCTTAGGCAAGTGAGCTCGTGGGCTCTTTCTCTCTCCAGCACCAGGGGTCTTCTCCTACCCCCAATACACTTCATACCCATTCACGTACCCCCCATCAGGCGCATACAACGCATGTAGATCGGACACACATCCGAAGTACCACAAACAGCCCCCCTACTTGATATGCCGTACGATCTCCCAACCAATACAAAAAACGCAAATAACCACTTGAGAAACATCCTCTACAAAAACTGATCACGCATTTAACACAAAGCGTCTCCATCAGTTTATTCACGAATCCAATGCACTCGTCCCTAGACATAATCTCAAACCGTTGACACAAAAGAATCATCCTCGGAAAAAACACCCAACAATTATTCGTGTTACATCAGAAAAAAAACGTTGGAACGAAACAAACATTTTCTGGAAAAACAGCTTCAAGAAGAGCGTTGAATACCAAATCCTAAAACAAAACAAAAACTCAACTTCTTGACCAATCAAAACGAGAATTCGGAAAGCACATTGGCCCCAACCATTAATCGTCAAAATACGTCAAACCCCTCCTCCAAGATAATGTCTAAGGACCAATCCCTAAACAGCGCGCAACCGCAAATCGATGCCATCGCTGTTGTTGTCCAAGAAACGATAGAAAACAAAGCAAAAAACATCCATCCATGCATGCATACAGCCCCCCTGCTGTGGCATCCCAAGAAACTATCCTCCCAACGTTCTATCTCCACGTGAACAGCCCCCCTGCTGAGACATGTCCAAAAACATAGGAGAAACAACAAAAATATCAATTGATG